AGCGTGTCATAATTGGCAGAGAGAGAGATGTAACCCATATCGTAGCATACGCTTCACAATGCAAATATTTTCAACAAAAAACCATCGCCATTTATCGCCATTTATACCATTTTACGAACAGCTGCCAGCTGTGGGGCTTCTGCGAGCGATAGAAAGCCGAGTTACTAATCCAAGTTCCTCCAACTAGCCCGGCGGCCTGCATTCTACCAAGAAATGCAGTTATAAACGCCGTGACACGCTTCGGCGGGGGGGAATTAGATATATTTATCGGCACAAAATGGAATTTCAGCTTCAGTTCATCAACAAATCAATTAATTAAACGACGCACGCAAGGCATTTACCAAATCATACACTTAATAAGGTCAAATTGGCAATTTAGGATCAAAAACAAAAGCCCAAAGCCAAAAACAAACAGCAACAACAGGCGAAAAGTGCCTCCAAAGGAAAACAAAACCAAACAAAACCAAAAATTTCAAACGAGTCAAGTTTTAATCTTGCAAGTGTACATATGTATATATGTATCTTTTGTACGGCTTTATGCTAATTTCGGGAGGAGACAAAAAGACGTTGCCTCAGCGAAAGATATTCCGAAACGAGTTAAATAACAAATTGATAAATATTAATAAGGCCAGAAGAGTGTGTGTATCGGCATCTGTTTGTGATTGTGCGATTGGTGCGTGCATTGCATTTACGTATCTGGCAGATACTCGTACACTACCATTCCGAAATGTCATCCAGGTTACAGTTAAGGCCTTCTTCTGGCGGCTTTTATGCAAGGCACGGAATGTGTCCGCCAGATACAAATTACACTGCAGCTGTTGAGGCGAAAAGCACGTGTGTGCGCTTGCAACTACGAGATACAATCGCTTGTATGTATCTGCTGGATTGCCGCAATCTAATATTTATTAAGTCTCCGTGTGACTGATGCCTTGACATTAGCCCCAGAGCCCCGTGAATCAGCTAGAATCAGCTGGCATCAGCTCTGATCTTCTCCTCTCCTCCGATGGGGATGCCACTACGTACGTATCTGTATCTGATGACTCAATTTGGGTCACCAGATAGTGTTGAGATATCTCTGTGTGCTTCTGTATTGTTTGTGTTTTACAAGATGAGAGCGATCTGTGATGTCGCCTGTCGGTTGTAATGTGTAATGGAGAGGGATCGACGATAAACTTGAGGGAAGGCATTAAACTCGCCTGAGGTACCCTCTACTTTTTAGAGAGGGTTATTATAGGGGAGTATTACACCATCTGGATATATCTCTGTACTTCTGGTATGCCCACAGAAGACCTGGGCAATTGTTACCCTGCTCTTAAGATATATGTAGTTCTCAATACCTATCTACCAAAAATCCCTACATAGGTATATAAGGTATCGCCATAGTTTTAATAGCAATTATAGCTCTCTTTTTTTGTATGATTCACCTGCAATTTTAATCAGTTCTCATAGTAAGTCGCTCATCAAAACAGATTGTTACTTTTCCTCCTGATAAGACATGGCTTAAATAATTATAAATTCCTGAATGCAATCCACTTTTTGCTGGAGGGGTTGCTGGTTTCCACTCCAATAACTCTTAGCCATTCCAAGCGGCACTCTCTCTAGCTCTCCGGCTCTCTGGGTCCCCCAACTGCAAGTTCCATTCCGACCGATCGATCCGAACCGAACCGATCCGCCCAGAAGGCAGTGGTGGCCAGGCATTCATTCACAATTACCAGGTAACCTCAATGTCGCCCCGGCGTGGCGTGGCGTGGCCTGTCTCTGTCTCTGTCTCCTCCGGTTCATGTCACTCTCCTCCTCGGAGCGGCAACCTTGTAACGCTTGAGGTCCATTAAAGGCATTGGGCTATATACTCATACGGATTGTACATACATACATATACATATATACCGCTTATTGGATAAGTATATGCCGATCACCGATCACCGATCACCGATTGTCGAATGCCGTTTTCGTGTTCGTGTTCGTAAGGCGACACATAAACCATAATTAAAATTGAAAAACTGTTGGCCCCAAAATCCAACTCGAAGTCGGAGTCGGAGTCCGATTCGGAGTCGCCAAAAACAAAAACCAGAAAACCAAAAAAATATTGCGCACCTGTTTGGAGTTGGAGAGAGAAGGCAGATACCCCCTCCCCGTCCCGCCATAGCCACTGGAGTGGAGTGGAGTGTTGGCCAGTTTTTCATGAAACAATTACGAGTACGAATGCGAATACGAATGCGAATGCGAGTACGAAAAAGCCAGGCTGAAATGAACGCCAAGTTGGCCAAGCAGTTGGGAGACGGTTGGCGGCTACTCGGCGGCATATTGCAACGTTTTGGGGCTGCACAGTGGAAGTGGCTTTTTAGAGTGGATAAATATAGTTTGGAAAGAAAATCCGATGTTTATTTGAATGGAAATCATTGTTCAGGATATTCAAAAGCCTACACGGAAACGAATTTTTCGCGAATAAAAGTTGGTTCTGAACCTAAAATGTGCCGAAAGCTTGAAAGAATTCCCGATTTAGATCCCATTCCACTTGATAACTGGCCTGCGAATGGATTGGCCTCTCCTTGTCACCCCACAATCACAGCCCCCACAACCTCGCCTCCTCCACTCGCTGGAGCTCTGCTTCCTCCCCATCGTAATCCCCCCATCCCATGCTTTTGCCTTCAGATCACTCTGTTGATCGTTTCGATTGCGGCTCGATCGGTCGACTTTTTAGCTTTGGCGTAAAATTGCAGAGCGATCTTGTTGTTGTTGCTTGTATGTGCACCATTAAGGCAACAACAGCTACAAACAGCTACAACACATGCAGGCAAACCAGACCAGACCAACAAACATACGTGCCACACATCCACATGCACACGATATGGTATGGTATATATGTATGTATCGAGAAACCTGTAGAATTTACAATTACAACAACATCACAGCAACTGGTAAAACAGCGCGTATCTGCGTCAATGCTTTTTACGAGAGTCATACCCTCTCCATAAAGGGGTATAGCCATTCTGTGGAGCAGAAGGCAAAGCCATCTTCCTTTGGGAAGAAGGTTCTTCATGGAACAACCATATAAATTGATTGTACCCTTCTATAGCTCGAACTTTACGAAGTCTGGAGTCGGTTACTTCATATTCTGTAGCCCATAAGACTACACTGCACCTCGACCATGTATTGATTGATTTCTTGTACTGGCCAGTAGGATTGTGTAGTAGATCCCCGTATAGTTAGGCCTTTGGTTAGATCTTTGGTTGACCCTCTATCTTCTATGTTAATATGTGAATAATCCAACTACTATGCTAATTTTTAAGAAAATTAGTGTATAGTATATTCCCTCATATTCCTGGTCATATCTGCACAAACAAAGAAATTATCTTTCGGGCAAGAGTATTCATAGTTTCGCTTCAAAAGCAAAAGCCATTTAGATCTTGTTTTTGTTTTTCTGTTAACTTGGCTTACTTGGGGCGCATTTGCAATTGAAGCGTGGCTCAAAGTGAGCGAACACACAGACACACACACACACACCCCTCCCTATGCCTCTCCCGCTCCCGCCCATCTAACCCACTTGATCTGGCCATCTCGCATCCACCAACGTCTCTCTCTCGCTCTCCCTCTCTCTCGCTCTCCCTCTCTCTCTCTCTGTCTCTAAAGGCAAATGCGGTTTGGGTTTTGAACGTGTTTTTTATATAACGTTGTTTTTCTTTCCATGTGCATAGTTTTGTTGTTGTGTTTTTATAAACGTGTTGTTGTTGCTTTGAGATTTGTGCATATTTTTGGTGGGAATATTTGGCATTTTGTTTTTCATGAAATTGGAATTTTGTCTTGTGTTTGGGAGTGGGAGAGGGGCGGCAGGAGACACAATAGAGGTCTGGTCTCCGAATCTGAGTAATGCACTCCAGAGGGAGAGCGGGAGCGTGAGTCATTCATTCGTTGTAATATTGGGAAATGTGCCGGAATAGAGGGATACCATTTCAAAGATTTTCCCGCTCCAATCTCTAACCAATTCAGTAGATAAATCATTTAATTTAGTCTCTCTCTCTCTCTCTCGCTCTCTCTCTCTCCAGACAAATATATCATAATTTTCATTCAATTTAGTCTCTTTCTCGACATCAGTCGCCACTCCACTCCACAGCACTCCAATCCACAATCCACTCTGATCCAATCCACACTCAATGACTCTGATGACTCCATTGGGTCTTGTGCAATTTACTGATTATCTCATAATCATCTTCTCGTGTGCCTCAATTTGTTGTTTAATGATGCTCGTGGAAAATTAACCATGGCTTATATAAATAGTAACATAAGATAAAACAAAAGCAAAAGCAAACAAACCACCAACAACCTGAGCAACAAATTTGATTTTATTAACTTGAGGCTGCATTTCAATTTTGGCATTTACAACATTTTTTGTATTTTTTTGTTATTGCCTGTTGCTGTGGTTGTTGATTTATGCCGCTTTTTGGAGTGCCGTGTGCCGAGTGCCCCGGCCCATTCAGTGAAAGTTGACGTTGAGGTTCAAAACAATGTTTTGCTTAAAGGTTGTGTCAATGAACTGGGCCTCCACCGAATATGGTTGGTTGGTCTATTAGTAGTTCAGGGATTAAGGTAATCTTTCAGCCTTTGGGCTTATCTTTATCGGCCATACTACAAGTACTTTATGGACTTTATGGACTGGCTCACGTGAGCCAAAGTCAAGATGTTCTATATTTAAACGGTGAGCCACAATAGGCGGCACTAGGAAAATGGGGCAACAATAACACTATAGTCTAGACACTTTAGAAATGGATTTTTTTTTTTGGTAATACTCTTATCATTTTCATTTTTTGTGGACTTGCGTTGACCAAACTCTGGGGAATTGCCCCCCCTCCAAAAATGGTCTGGTTTCTGCAGGAATTGCGTTTATTTATTGGCTATAGCCTTATCATTATGGACTGCCTCACGTGCCCCAAATATATTTAAAGCACAATAGACTGCAATTGATATTGGGGGGGGGGGGGGATGTGTGTAAATTTATTACCCACCTGACGAGGCTGTTGTTGTTCTGCTCGCGATAAGAAAGGGCCTTAAAAAAGGCCACGCGAAAGAGTTTCGACAATTATTCCGGTCACTTTCGATTCGATCGGAGCGATAAGGCTGTATCTGTATCCACTGTACCACACGCGAAAACAAAGAATAACACAATTACTATATGGAATTCCTTGGGGGCCAAAGCCAAAATCGATGGATTTCCTCTTTCTTCGTCGGGTTTTATTGTTATCGTATTGCCTTGCTCTTTTATGGGGGGCGCCGTTTTCTTGGGCTGCTTCTTGATGGCTTGGCTGTATTCGTATTAACCGGTTTTTGGGCTTATGTTTATGCTGTTGCTGTTGCTGTTGCTGTTGCCATCGCTTTTGTTGTTTCTTTTACGCAGACGCGAGTCGAGTCGAGTTTGTAGGGAAAACTTTTGGAAAAATGTTGCAATGTTTCATCCAGCAAATTGTTAAAAGATTCAAATTTAAACGAAAATCCTAAGCGCACAATTTAACATAACAAAAAACCATTCCCGAACAAAACACACCACACGCAAGCGCAGTACCAGGAGGATTCGTACAGGCACAGGAATGCAGGCAAACAGGTGTTGGCTTTTCGGATGCGCCTGCCGTTTTGTGGCGTTTGCCTTCGCTTCTTTATACTTATTTCTGCTTAGTTTTCTTTGGCTTGTAACAGCACTTTGCACGCGGCGTTTATTTCAATTTAATTGAGCGTGTTGTTTGTAATTAAACACCTGTTGCGCGTCGAGAAAAAGACAACGCGCCGCGACACAACCTTTTCGTTTGAAAATTCCGATTGTTTTGTTTGTTTACTCCATGCTAGCGATGTTAAATATATTCGATACATCTATCGATTAATTTTTTGGTCTGGTGAATATATTAGTTTGGATACTTTTGCAGAATATATCATCAAAGGAACTACTTTTCTGAGTGTTTGGCGAAAATTAATATTATTTTTCTGTTGTTTCACGTCACAAATAAGAAAAACCAAATAAACGATAAAAGGTAGGCACTTGACCGCATGGTATAACAATATTAGGTATGCCGCAATACAGCCGCACTTGATCAATGTAGGACCAGGGTGACCATTTTCGGTATATTTCTGCACATTTTGACGTCTAAATTGAGGTGATTTTATGGTATATCGGTATAATATTATTTTTCGCTTGACTGAGAACGATTAACCCACTGTAGACCAAGGGGGTATTTTAACACTCCACCGACAATAATGAAAATCGAATCATTTTAGAGCAGTTTAGGTGAAAGATAACGCAATTGTAAGTTCAGAGGAAAGATAGCATAGATTTTCAAGAATTTACAATTTGTAATATTTTCTGCCATTTGCCTCAAGTCATTGAATTGTTTAAATAGAGGGGGCGTAGTTGGGCTAAGTTAGTTTTGAAAGAAGTCGTCATATTTCTATTTTTGTTTTTCGTTTTAGTTTCGCAACTTTTGTAAATATGTCGGACCTCTCGTACTTGGACACACTCTCCAAAAAGGAGCTGCTGGCCAAATGCTTGGAACATGGCCTGCCCGACATCCCGGTGACTGATAGCACTCGCAATGTCATCACTCGTCGTTTGCGCGCAACCATCTTGGGCTTGCCGTTGAACAAAGGCAAAACTGCTGCTTCAGCTACAAAGAAGACGGCTCCTAGGCGTGAAATCATACACGGCAGCAAGGTGACGCCCGCTGCGGAAAACGTGGGACGCACAGCAGGTAAAAGTCCAAGTCGCAGTGGCAACAGCAGCTTCAGCAGCAACAACAACAACAACAACCAGAGCGCTCATTCTGGTCGTCGCACGATTGCCTATGGCCTGGACAACATATCCGTCTCGGGGCGCTCAGTAGAGACCACAACTACCGTCTCGGATGTGGGCTCCCAGTCGGAGGACGATGATTTCCATGTGGTGGATTCGCCAGTCCGGCACTCGAATTTGCCGCAAACGCCACCCAATCGCAAGAATGTCTCGTTGAACAAGTCTGGAGTGCTGACCACATCCTACACACGCGAGGTGGAGCAGCCGCTTGATGAACGGCAGGAGATGGACATACCCAAAAGCCACAACTATGAGCGTGCGCCTCTAAACACATTGCCCAGCTACATGCCGCGCCTCGATCAACCCTACAGACGCCCCATGTACCTGGATCTGGATGCTCTCTCTAAAACACAGAACGTACAGACACAACTGAACTCGACCAGCTATCAGGAGGATGCTGGCCCACGGCACACATTCAGCGGCTCGGCCAAGCCTTTTGGTGAAGTGGCTGCAACTCAACCACGTCAGCGCCAGAGCGGGTCAACTACTGGCTTTAGACAGCCACTCCAACCGAGAACCTCCATGAACACACTCTATCCGACACTGAACCAGTTCTACGATCAACCGGACAACAACGCTCATCCCATGGAAACCGACAGCGAATCGGAGGCGGAGGAGCCTCAGCTACGAGGCAGCCATCTGTCGCGAGCACGCTCATCGCCACTAGCACGCCCAACACTGTCAGCCAAGCAGAAGCCAGGACAGGTGTCGCCCATGACACACTTCCGTGAGGCATTCCGCTCTCTGGATCGTCAGTATCATCTCAAGTTTTATTTCCTCCTGTGTGTGGCTGTGATGGTGGTTACTATGCTGTATGTGGTCCTGACGCCCGCTGTTTGAGGTGTATCTTGAACGTTTCAGACTAATATAATAATTGTTACAAAAAGACTTACATTCAAATATTAAAAAATAAACGGGCTTTCGTTCAAAGACGAATAAATAATTGCGTGCATTTTGTTTCCTTAAGAAACTCCAGACCAGACTACAGACACAGGATACGGATACGGGCTAGAGTTCAATCGCCAAGTCTTTTATTTCTTGTTTTGCTTATGATTTCCGCTTTATACATAATTAGAAAAATGTACTACATTATAATTATTTGTATTAAATAAACTAATTAAATGTAAAGGTTCAGTGTTTTGCATTTTGTTGTGTGTGTTTCTGCTTTCAGTTTTAAGAGTTTTATCGGAACAAGGGGATAGGGATCTTTATTCTACTATTTACACGCTATTCAAGAGTGGAAAACAAGTTTTGTGTAAAATCGTAAGGATCTGGGACAGGGATCTGCTTGAGGGCGGGGGGCCGGCGATGCAAGGACATCACAAAGAAACGAATCACTCTTAACAAATGACACAAATGGCTGGCTGCTAAGTGGCGCTGGCGCTGGCTGACTAATTGAAGTGGAACTTGAACTGGAAGGGCGATCCGTGCTGGAAGTGGGCAAACGGATGCTGGCCACCACCACGCTGGTTCGCCTCAGGGTCCAGGGGATCCTCGCCTTCGTCAAACTGGCGCCGCTTCTCGGGATCTGTAAGTACCTCCTTGGCCGCTGCGATATCAATGAACTTCTTTTCGGCCACCTTCTTCTCCTCGTCCCTGAAGTTGTCCGGATGCCATTTCTGGGCCGCCTTGCGGTACGCCTTGACAATCTCTTGCTTGTTGGCCGTGCGCTTTACGCCCAGTATCTTGTAGTAGTCCCTGCGCTCGGCCTGCTTCTGCAGCTTCTTGGCCTTCTGTATACCTTCCTTGGCCCGCTGGCTGTTCTCGTCCAGCTCGAGGGCTGCCTGGAACGAGTGTATGGCATCATCATACATTTCGGTGCCGATCAGAGCCTCGGCACGATCACAGTACACTTGGGCGTCCTTCATGATATCCAGCGCTTCCTTGCACTGTGTCAGCGCCTTGCCAAACTCCTCGTCGCCAGTGTAGCAATTGCAGAGAATCTTGTGCGCCTCGTAGCGTATCATGGTCTCCTCGGGCTCGTGCTTGAGCACCGCCTCGCCAGCGGCTATGCAGTCGGAGAACTGTTTCTCCTCCTTGGCCTGCTCGGCATTCGTCAGCTGCTTCTCCACCTTTCGCAGCTTCTTGTAGAAGGGGAAACACAGCTTGTGCTCTGGATCGAATTTCAGGCACTCGCGTATCTCCTTCAAGGCATTGGGGGCATGTCCAATCGTGTACAGCAGCTTGGCAATGTTGTAGTGCCCCTCCGTGCTGTCCTGGGTCAGGCGGTTCACCTGCCTGAGGTCGGAAATGGCTGCGATAGCATCGTTTACCTTGATGTAGAGATCGGAGCGTGTCTGCCGGAACGGCACCGACCAAGGCGACAGCTCCAGAAGCTGTGTGATCAAATTAATGGCATTGTGATAGTCGCCATGGGCAACATGATGCTGCACATTATGCCACTGCTCGTTGGCCGGCTCCAGTCGCGAGTACTGTTCAATGACCAGAGCATTGTTGGGCTCCTCCCGGAGCACCACACTAAAGTCCGTCAGCGCCTGCTCGTATTCGCCGCTCTTCATGTGCACTAGACCGCGTTGGGCACGTGCCGCCGTGAAGTCGGGCTTCAACTCGAGGACGCGACTAAAGTCCTGAATGGCAAAGCGTGTCTTGCCCAGGGCCAGATAGACTGTGCCCCGCTTGAACAGCGTCAGATAATTGTTGGCATCGCCCTCTGCAAAGATTCCCCAAAATGAATAACATTCGACACAAAAGAAATCGTAAGCGATTCACCCACCGACAGCCGCATGGTAGTGCGTCAGTGCATCCGACAGCTGTCCGCGGGCCAAGAACTCTTTGCCCAACTCCAGATGGTTGTCGATATCGGCCTGGTTGGGCACTGACTCGGCGCCTGCATAAAACAATGACGTGGATCACACCCGTTGTTGACAAAACAAACACACAAATGATACGCACCTTCCAGGAAGAGCTCCAAGAGCAGCAGCACCACACAGGCGGCAAGCCTCTTCTCACCACTGCCTAGCATAAGTAGATCGCTTAAAGGCAAGGCCATAGCTACGTGTACCTTGTCTCTCTCTCAGGTGGGTGCGGATGATGTGGGCGTGATTTAAAGTTGCTGTCCGAAACGACACGCACGTCAGATGTGTCTAGCGTGGCAGATGTTGTGGCTAATCTATACCGTTGCACCTGCCCTCCCCTTTCTGACGATTGCCGCGTTGTTGTTGTGCGGCCTTTATAGATTTTGTGTCCGTTTTTGGTATAATTTTGGAACCGCACGACGCTTTTTTCGTGCTCTTTGCTCGCTGGAAACACAGGCCGCTGTGTATATTCTGTTATTTAATCGTTATGCAAATCGCCTTTTGCCTCCATTGGTCATCGTCGCCGCATTATTTTCTGACTAGCCACCGATTTTCTGATGAACTTTTCGCCTATTATTTTTGCCTATATTAAAAACTAAACACTGACGTGTAGTGAGCGGTAGTATGAAGTTAACCCATTTAACCCAGCATTAAAAACCCTGTATTTAAACTTTTGTTAAGCTACGAAAACTAATACTGTTTCTAAATTATATTCTTCCTTTTATTTTTTCCTTAAAAAAATTCAAAATATTTTAAAATATATTGCACTTATCTTCAAGTTACTTGATTTTCTTAAAGTGTATTTCCATGCCGACTAGTAGACAATGGGTTAATCGTTCTAGTTTGTTCTTGACCGGAAATTATATTTTTTCTCAGTTTAGTTACTGGCTAGCACGAACAGGAATTCTTCTATATTTCTTTCAGGAAAGAAACCCCAAATGTATTCTTTTTGTTGGCAAATCCATAATCCGCCATCCTGGCTTGCTTTTTGCTGGTCTCGCGGAACTATCCTGGCCACGTAGTGCGTGTCCCACTCCCTTTTAGGGAGAGAGAATAGATCACTAATTAACTTATTTACTCCGTCCATATCTATTTTTATATATTCTTTCTTATATGTAACTTATTTATATTTACTATATTAATTATTCCTATTTATTTATATCGAACTGATTCGATTAAGGGGTTATGAATAGGCGGGCATAAGCTAGTAATGATGCCATGTAAAAGTATGAAGTTAACGTACAAATAATAAGGAAGACAAAACAAAAGGAAGGAAAATGTTCGTAACAGTTTAAACAATTAAAAATTTGCACTTAAGCAGTTTTCTCACACGGCAACTACACCAATTCTACATGACAACTACATATCAATGTAATTATGAATTACTTATCAAAGAACAAAAAGAAAGCCCAAGAAATATTGTTTTTCGGGCTTTACCGAGATTTCAAAGTCAAAATATTGGAGAAAAAATACCACCAAAAATGATACATTTTGATTTTTAAAGCACTATATCTTAATTTTTCCAGATGGTAAGCTGAAACTACACAGTTTTTGGGCCTGATACTCGTGCATAGGTGCATTTATTAGCTTATCAGAAATGCAAAGTTCATGAATAATTCATTAAAAGTCCTTAAAGGCCCAGATCTATCAGACAAAATCGGTTTGGTTCGAAGCGTTAAGCAAATCTTGGATAATTTACTATTAAAAATTTTACAAATAACAATTGGTAAGCTTCGGTTTTTGGTTTCTCTTTGTTTGGCATAATATATGTATGTTCATGAAACAAATTTTCTAGGTTTGATTTATAAAATATGCAATAAATTGGATATCATATCTATAAATATATGTAATTTTAACGAGAATTATATATTCATATGTGAAATATCTTTGGTTACTCCTCATCACTCCTTCATTGCTCTGAGATCTGGATAGAGGGCTCCGGCGTTAATATAATGAGATTCCGGTTTACGCAAATCGCGTTTATAATCGCTAACAACGGCCTCGCCGGTCCGCTTGGCGAGTTTCTTGGCTATGCCCTTGGGCGATATATAATTCACGTTCTGGCTGATGACAAAAGCATTGCCCACCGTATCGAAGGTTCCGCAGGCCAAATTCCCAGCCGATGGTCCATATCTGTAAGGGAAAATGATATGTGAAAATGGTTCTAGTGAGCCTAAACGCTTGATCTCACTTGTGCTCTATAATCTTGACCGAGTTCTCGCTCAGGCTGTTGCCCAGGATCTTGGCCGATGTTTCAAGTCCATCGAAGACAGTGCTGAAGCCCTCGACAGCTCCCGCTGCTATTGTTAGGGCCCCGTCCATGGTGCTGTTCGCTTCGGTGGTGTCGTAGCCGAAACCCTTCTGCAGCAGCTTTGAGCCCTGCTCCTGGATGTGCGGCGCCAGATAGCGACCAACGGCCATCGAGGCGGTGCCCACCTTTCCGGCTAACCAACCAGTCATTCCAACCGCCGCGTGGGTTACCTTCTGAGCCACCTCCACTGCGGCAGAAAGTCAATGAAATCCTGGAGAAATTACTTCAGCTGAAGACTCACCTGACGACTGTACGGAGGACGGCACCTGAGTGGGGGCCTCCGTCGAGGCTGGCGACATCTTGGAGATGAGGTACGGCGTAGTTCGCATCATCAGACCGCCTGTCTTCTCCGCTCCCTTGACCAGATTGCGAGCTATGAAATCGGCCGCGCACACAATGTGCTTGGACACCTGCTCCGAGCTGGTGCTCGGACCGGAGCCAGCACGTTGGGTGCTCGGCGATTTCAGCTGCTCTACAGTGCCCGCCAGCACAGCCTCGAGGAGGTCAAGGAAAAACTGCTGCAGATCCTGCATCTGCTCCTCCTCCGACTCCCCGGCCGTTGAGCTCAGCGGACGCTGTGGCTTCACTAGCATGATGCCGAAGGCGTTGCCCGGCTCCTGGCACTCCATATCGGGGAAAATGAAGGCTCCGTATTCCGTGCGATAACAATTGGTGATCAAGGGCACCAGCGGGTACAGCCAGATCATACCAGTAGCCGTGGGAGTCTCTTGCTCTGTCATAGAGCACTGGATAAAGGTGCTTCCGCTGAGATATTTCCACTTGCCGGCCACGGTGCACATCACCAGGGACATGGTGGTGCTTCCTGTAATGGTGGTTACCACACCGCTGGATTCGATGCGATAGAGCTTGATCTGAGCCTGGAAGAGCTCGTCCAGCTGAGCATTAGCCTCGTGGTTGGCCAAGAGCTCTCGCAAACCGACAGCCATCTCCCTGTAAGTTCTGGGAGTGCCGCTGGCATTGGCTATGTCGTAAAAGGTCGATGGATTTTCGGCCAGCAAGGGTCGCTGACGGCTGGTACTCTGTCCATCTGCTTCGGTGCGCTCCCTCTCCTTTGCCTCCTCTGCACTGTCATCGATGGGGAGGCTCTTGGCTTTCAACACCTTAACGCGATAGCTAACCTCCGTCTTGGCGCTCTTTAACTTCTGTATCAGGGAGCAAGCGTCATTCCATTGCGTCTGCACAGCATCAATCTCATCGGGCAGGCCCACCGGTATGGCAAAGGTTTCTTCAATCATTTCCAGGGCTCGCTCATACGCACCAATAGTTTGTTGCGTGTCCTCCTGCTCCTCGCGGTCTAGGGCCAGCTCTACTTGCGTCATAGCGGCCTTGTAGGCCGCTTGGATTTGACCATACGCCTCGAGGAACTCGGTTTCCGTGGATGCCATTACGAAATTTAGTAGCTGATGAAATAAAAATAAAAAAGTACTTCAATTTTGCATAATTTTAATTCATAGAAAATCAAACTTGTTGGTAGATATCCATCTTTGCTGTTCAGCTACGAAAAACCAACTGAAAAATGTACACTTTTCGCGCAGTTTCCGTTTCATTGCTGACAAAATGCGTCAGACATCTTCGGTGTTTCTTCTACCGTTTGTGCGCTCTTTTTCTTCTCCGATGTATGAGATTTATATTGTATGTCGAGGCACATTCGTTTTCTGCTCCGACTCGATGACATCTCCGCCACGATATAGAGGCATCCTCTAGTTTCTCCACGATTCGAAGGTTATATTTCTTCGATTTAGGATCATCTTCGGGGTGGCCTCGCCTGCGGTTCGTGAGTTTTTCAAGCGGCAGCTGTTGCCTCTCCTCAAAATTGAATTTTGGCCAACTAAATTTCTTTCGCTTTGCTGCATTCACAATCGGATTTATCACGCCCACTTGTTGCACTCACCCTCTTTTCTTGTCTTCAAGCTTAACTGACTCTGCCAGAACTTTCCCTTTCATTGAGATTCAATCGGATTCGGATGTACTTTGATCAGTAAATCATCGATCTAGAAATAATGTGGCGACACGTCGTGTTCTCTAAGATTTCGTCATGGATTTTACATATTTCGCAATTTTTTAACACTCACCAGCCATTTTCCGGGCTTTGGCCTTACCTGTATAATAGAAAGCTTCTTGTTGCCGTTTTTTATGTGAGAATCAAACTTAAATTAATAATTATCATTGCTAAATTCGTTCAAAAAGTGTTCGAGTTGGTTGTGGAATGTTTGCTTTTTGCGTTTCTGTTTTGCTTAGTCTGTTTTTTCTTGTGCTTCTTATCCAGCTGTTTCTTAGGGAGGCTTAGCTACGTTCAGTCAGTAACTATAAAATACGTACATATCTAGAGATGCGTAATTTTGAGCTTTTTAAAGACTATATATCCTTTTATTAAATTTTCAATATCCAATCAAATTTGCAAACTACTTTTAGAATGACTCGATCTTTTTTAATACATTCTGCTTGTTTTAGCTATGTATATTGCATCTCTTTAGTGTTTTATCGCTGCATAAGCAAGCAAAATTTCTGCCAATTGATTTCATCGTGTATGGATAGAACAATACATTTTTATGCACTAGTGTAGTTAAAATATAGTGTAAAAAAACATCGGCCACATAATTAAAGGTAAGAAACAACTGACGAAATATTACAATTACAAAAACACCGATATTACCAAATCCTATGAATTTAAATCGTATATCACTACGAAAGGAGCATTCGCATAATGCTGGAGGTTCGAGATCAAGTTGATCCTGCCACCAGTCGGCCGTACCGAACTTTTGAAATTTCTTTTTCGATTTATGTTTGTGGTCTCCGAGAGCACAATCGGGATGCATTTGTGATGGGCAGCATACCTCTCTGTCTGTCCCATCTGCCATAGTGTGTGGACAAACTTTCTGTGATGAGTGAGTTCAGACGTGGTGCAAACGCGAGCAAACATGCCCCATGTGCCGGGCCAATGTTAGAGAAGACTCCGCCTGGCAGGATGGCAGCACCACATTCTTCTACACCACATTGCACCAGGGCTCCCCTCCCTCAAAGAAATGTTTTTCCATATTTCTCCAAGCTATCATTTGTTTATTAAACTGACAGTTATTAATTAATACTCATTTTTAAGGGTTTTTCTGTATGTTCTCGGCCCCGAGGCTGTGCGGATTGGTCGCGCTGGCCTCTATGCCGGGTGTGACGATATGAGTCCATCGTCACTCATATCATCCATCGGACGAAGCATAATCGCTTCTCCAGCCAGAGGCATTGAAGCAAATGTTGGAGACAGATGCGGCATGAACTTTACTAATAACTTTTTTTAAGTAGAACAAAGAGCCAATCTGAGCAAAGAGCGTCGCGAGCAGTTCTATGCCATAGAGTGTGGGCCATCCACTCTAGGATATCTGACTGATTAAACCGACGGCGCCCAGCGGAGACCCGACACGGACCTAGTGGCCCCACAGCTCACATCCATACGTTCTGCGGCAATGCCCAAAAGGCCACGGCATTGCGCACAACCCAGGAGATATTCACTGCCATTAAGGATTAAGGAATACTCGGCCACCATGGCCAGAGTCAGTTTGGAGCTGAAGAAACTGAAGCTGCAGCAGCAAAAGTACCAGTAGAATGGTCCACCGGCGGCAGCCAAATCCATTGCCCAAATTCGTATTAGTTTGCATTCCGTTTTCTTTCAGCTGCCGCCCGTCGAACAGCCGGATTCGCAGAACAACAAAGGGCCAAACAGAACGAAGAGCGTTGCGAGTAGTTTTAACTGTGGTTCCGATTCGTTTGAAATACGCTTGAGAACATCTCATCGCATGATGCGATGCACATTCTTAATGTAATATTTTTGAAATATAGTTTTTATTAATTATTTCGTTTTACTTGATATTTATTTCGACCTTTTTAATGATTTTTAAAATACATTTTTATCATTTGAATGCATATTACATTTCGTTCGATTCGGACGACGCTCACATCCTGACTTTCGTGGGTGTGTTGTGTGTGAGAGAGTTTTGTATGTGGGGAAGAGAGGTGGTGGCCGTGGTTATTGGCCAAATATACAATATATGTATATCCTGTATATAACACGATAACTTGAATAACGAAAATAATCTATTGGAATTTGTATTTCTGATGATGGCAATGGGTTCCATCCATTCAACATGTCAAATTCTAAGAAGTCGCAGACTTTTGTCTTCGTGAGAGAAGAGTTTTGATTGAAATCACAATGTATATATAGAATCATTTTCTGTATAACTCTATGGATGGATGCACACAAAAATGTGTGTGGATCCTTGTTTTAACATAGTTTTTAATGCATTTGCCGACACACGACGATACTGTCGGCAAGAGTAAAAAATAATAACGAGAGTAATGCTCCTTCCATCCTTTTTTATGGATCCAAAAGTGGGGGGATGGATTATATGGTGATGATCCCCTCTTTAGGCAGCCGCCTTGCTGGCCAGCTCCCGGTAGGCGTCCTGCAGAGCCTGCTGCTGCTCGGCACTCAGGCTGCTGGCACAGGCCTGCATCACATCGGGATTCGACTCGACTTGCTTGACGATGGTGAGCATACGGGTACCGGTCGCACTGGTGGCCTCCAACACCTTGGTGCAGTACGCTTCGGCGATGATCGAGACGATGCGCGGCAGATTGGAGTTGTTGGCGCCCAGAATTACAGGATGATTGGCCTCGATCAGATCGCACATGTAGCCATATATGTGGGTGGCCTCCTCGGGATCCTCGGAGATGGGCAGCCAGGAGAACCACACGCCAATCAGTTCATCCACATTCGAAAGCGCCGACTTGTTATACTTGAGGATTTTGGCAAAGGCCGATATGGCGTTCTCCGTGGCATTGATGTTCTCGATTTCGCGGGCCTTGGGATCATTGATGACCTGCACCAGTAATGGAATGATCTGAGCGCATGTGACCGCAAATTGCTCGCCACCAAACTGGGCCAGAACACCGCAGCCATAAGCAGCAGCCTGGCGCACCTCCGGTGACTTGTCGCCCACATACTGCAGCAGGGCTGGCGTAAAGATCTGCTGGTACGGGGCACAGGCTGGGCCACAAAACTCTGCAACATTGAAAACGATATGTTCATTTTATTCTATAGGATCCAATATTCCGCGCTCTCCACTCACCAATCAAATCATCAAAGACACACACACCCCATTGGCGATCGGTTGGTGGACGACTGGGATCCAGAAGCTTCACAAAGTGCGGAGCCACCTGCTCGAAGGCTGGCAGAAACAGGGCCTTGTTCGTCAGGAAGAGGGCGTGTGTGATGTCAATCACCTTGGACAGGATGTAGACATCGGTGTCGTCCTGCTCGGCCAGCTCCTCCTCGACGCCATCGTCGTAGTCCTCCTCGTTGCGGGCAGCTAGACGCTTGTCGGCGCGCTCAAAGTGCTCCAGGACATACTTGTTGATGATCTCGAGGACCTGCTTCATGGCCTCCTCGTTGAGGCAGTTCGGGCCCAAGGTCTCGATGCACTTGGCCAACGAATTGAGCAGCTCGGACTGCACCTCCGGCTCCGGTTCAGTGACGATGACTTTCAAGAGCTCGGGGCAAATGTAGAGCCACATACCCTCCAAGTACTGGGGTCCCTTGATCTTGGCGCAGTCGAGCAGATACGGCAGCGACTCGGCGGCGGCTGTTCGGACTCCATCGTGGAAGTAGAACTTGAGCATGGGCAGCATTAGGCGGACCACCTCCTCGGCGTACTCGGCGAATCCCTCCTTCAGCTCTCGGGCGTAGCAGACCAGCATCTCGCAGGCGGAGGCCTTGTCGTCCATGCCGGCAGTGCGAATGGCAAAGTTCTGCTGCTCCCCCAGATTGATGAACGACCAGTCGACATCGCCCTCAATGTCCTCGACCTCGTCGTTGTCCAGCATTGCCACCTCGGGCTTCATGGAGGCGGTGCGCATCACTGGGCCCATCACCAGGGGCAGATACTGCTCAAACTGCTTGCCCAGGATCTTGCACATGCGTGCCCAAGCCGTGATCAGGTAAGAGGTCTGCGGATCGTCGTCGGCCAGCTCTGCGCCCTCGGTGTGATTGACCAGCAGCATGTCCATGATCTCGCCGGCATCCCCAATGAACTTGTCCCGGCCCACGGCCAGTCCGATGAGGCTCACGCACTCGATGGTCTTGCCGCGCAGCATGCGCAGATCCTCGGAATTGGCGTTCTGGATGATGAACTTGAGGCACGGCATCAGGCGATCGTAGTAGGTCACGAACTCGGCCTCGCATGTGTCCGCCACAGAGGCGATGGTGGTCACGACCTGCTCCAGCACCAGCTTGTTGCCCTTCTCTACCAGCTCCTTGAACTTGGAGTTTAGAATGGCCTCCAGCTTGGCCATGATCCCGTCCAGATAGCGTGTCAAAATATTCTTGGGACAATCCTCGCTGAAATTGACCAAAGCGGCGCCGGCATGAGCCTGCACACGGGGATTCTGCACATCGTCCAGCAGCAGCATCAAGCCGGGAATCACCTAAACGAGGACAAGGCAAAGATCAGATTCATTTCAAGATTTCGTTTATGTGCGATCATATACCTGGCTGTGGAACTTCTTCTCAAAGATTGGGGCAAAGTCCGTGGACATCTGGCCGATGGCATTGCAGGCGGAGTACCGCACGCGCGGATGGGGATCCCGCAGGAAGTTTAGCACGCCCGACATCACCTCATCCAGTATGGCCTCCATCTGCTTGTGGCAGCCCTCGCCGATGGACGAGATGGCCATGAGGGCGGCAAAGCGGTGCTTCCAATCGCTGTGGCTCAACATCGCCGGCAGGGAGCTCATCACCTGGGGCAGAATCATCTTGCCTCCCAGGCCGCAGGCGAGGCGGTCCAGCGAGGACTCGGCAATCACATTGTTGTCGCTGTGATCGTCATCGTCCACTACATCGGTGGTCGACCAGTCATCGTCGTCGTCCAGATCCGTCATCATCTGCAGCACCAGGGGGATCAGGGCAACGATGTACTTCTCCGCACGCTTGCGCACCATGGCAGGAGCATTCTCGGAGAGGGAGACCATCACCTCCAGGACCAGATGACGCCAGGTGTCCTCGAAGTCCTTTGAGCTGAACACCTTCATGCAGATCTCGAAGATGAACTCCAGTTGGGGCCGCAGGAACTTGGGACAGCTCTCGGTCATGTCGATCAGCAGCTTAAGCAGACTCTGGTCGTCCTGGGCCTCGATAGTTTCGCCGGTGATGACAAGCATCCGGTGCAGCATGTCGCTGAAGTGCTTGTACACTACCACTTCCTTCTCCTTGTCGTGGAAGAGGATGAAGGCGCCAACAGCGCGCACAGCCTGGATGCGCACCTCAGGATCCGAGCTGGGGTCCATGCTCTTGGCCAGCATCTGCTTGATCAGATCAATGTACTGCGTCTCCTGGTTGCCAAAGATCGATGGAACGCTCGTGAAGATCCGCAGCGCGGCCTCCTGCAGCTGGGGCGTCGGCGAGTTGGCGCATTGGAAGAGAAACTGCAGGATATCCGGCCACTGGTTGTTGCCATCATCGTCGATCAGACTGCGCGCCACCTCGGCCACCACCTCGCAGATCTTCCTCCTCAGCTGGGGCGTCACCTCCTGCTGCACGGCCAGCAGAATCTGCTGCAGCAGCTGGTTCTGGGACTCTGGTGGAATCTACGGAGCGGTAGAAATTTCATTAGAAAACCACTCTTTCAGGAACTCCTTTCAGTTGCATTTCCAACCTCTTTGTAGAAATCTGGGAAGTCGGTAGTGAAGAGACGACGCAGCAGAACGGCGGCCATCTGGCGGGCCTCCTCGGATTGCTGCCCATTGTGGATGTTGGCCAGAAGATGTGTCACCTTCAGATCCCGCTGTAGGGCGTTGTAGGCATCCTGAAATCGGAATATCAGAAAAAGCAAACCGAAACGTGAATAACGAACGAAAACAGATTTGGTTTCCAGGTGGGTGGAGCCGTTGCCTCAAGGTCGGCGGGCGTTGCCATGTGCTCGACCGCCGAGCACGGCGCTTATCAACACGGAATATTAAACAGATTGCATTTTCCCATCCACCATCTATCCAATGCGTCATTCCACCGCACTTTTGCACCTGCTCTTTGTTTCCGTTTGCCCGAAAAATACATACTTATATCATAAAAAATTTGAAATTGTTCAATTCTCAAATGGTATTTTGCTTTGTTCCTCCGATTCGTGTCTCTCTCGCTATCGCTCTTCATCCGAAAGAGACGCAACACACATGCGAATGTGGCGTCAAAAGGGAGAGCAAAAACACGTTTTGTGTGCGGATGATTCAGGGCACAAATTTAATAGGAAAAAATATGCCTGCGAACAAAAGGGATATCGCAGACAAGAGGCAATGTCTGTGCCCAATTTTGTATACTCGATGGCACGCCAATATGCATATTGCGCATCACGAAATTGCTGCAATTCAATTTTTCTTGTTGATCCCCCCTCCTTCACTGCCACCCTTCTCAAGCACGAGCCACTCACCTCGGCCTGCTGGCGCACATCATTATCCGTAGATAGCAGGGAAACCAAGAGCTGCTGGAACTGGGCCTGGTCTGCAGACATGTTGTGTTGTAATTAAATCAAATTAATTGCAATTGACACAAAAGTAATTAGAAAACCACAATTTTCACAATCTTCACGCGACGAAGGCCGCCTTAAAAAAGAGCAGGGCAGAACAATAGAAGACGGGAAGCCGGGTTGCCAAAATCTCGCAATTTTCTGAGCAGAGTTGTATTCTGTGCGTTTCAATTTTATTGCTCCTTTTGAGGGTGATACTTGACTTATTTTATGAGTTAAAGTGCTATTCAAATATAACTTTTGTAGAAATTCATTTATTTTTGACTGGAAACTGGCAATTTCAATTGTAAATTTCACGCATGTGGCAGCACTAAGGCCACTGTGATACGATAGTTTTGGCGCGCAAGCGAAAACACCCAGGGCCGCCACCAATTTGCATCTCAAACTGTCGGTTGAGATTTAAATTAAATGAGCTATATTTTTGAATGCAACAGATATTTAACACATAATATAAATATAAAATAAATTAAACAAACTGAGGTAAGAATTTTCACTGTTGCCCTGGGCAACATTGCCGTGGTCCAGGGACAGGGAAAATCTGAATTACATATGTATGAATTATTCCTCCACTTTGACCAAGTGTTTCATATTAGTACAGAAACGCAGGGTAAAGTGATAAATCATCTCCACCAGGCTGAGTATGGAAAAGCCCATGAAGAGGCCGAAAATACCCCCACAATTGGCTAGAAACTCGGTTATGCCGTACAGCTCCGACCGCTTCGAGGTTATAAACTGGTCCTGCTTGAAGTAGATGGAGAGCCGGGACATCTGGGAGCCGGCATACTCCTTCATGAAATCTGTGTCACCTTCGGCAATCAGCATTTCCTCCAGATCAAAGTTCGCCTGCGAGATTTCCGTGTTGTAGGCCAGAGAAGTACACGCCGGCATGCAATTGCACGCCGTTTCTACTCCCCGCGGAGCGTCTCGCTCCGCATTCAGTGCTTTCACGCGATGGAACTCCCTCACGAGGAGCTGCCGCTCGGCTCGATCGTAGCAATAGATTTTGTCCTCGCCACACACCGGCATATCCATATTCCTGGGCATCGAGAACTTGACGCAGCCGCATTTGGTCAGCGTGAAGTTGGCCAAGCACTCAAGCTGACAATTGGACTCGGTGTAGATCTTGAAGAAGCGCAGGGCCCGCTCATGGCTGAGGAAGCACTGCCGCCGCAGCGGATGGTACTCGGCAATTCCCGATGACGTCGTAATCATGCTTGGCTTGACCGCAATGAGGACCTCCTTGCCCATGGGAATGCGCACGAATTGCTTTGAGACCTGCGGCACGTCGTCCGGGGCATGTAGTAGAACTTTAAATCCTTGCACAGGACCACGGCAAGCGTAGTCCACCTCCTGCTTGAAGCTCTGCAGGGCCAGAAAGATGCCCGACCGAGCCCCAGCACTGAGCACGCGAGCTGGATACGTTACCACATCGCTCTCCACATCATAGCCCGTTTCCAGCGACCAGGCCGAGTGTGAACTGATGTTTTCCATGTCCAAGGCACCGGCACTGTACCGATACTGGTAGGTGTCTTCCCGGTAGATGTCGGTCGCGCTCAGCCCGTTGAAAGTGTAGCAGATGCCCTCCTCCTTAAAGAATAACACGGAAGAAAATGTTAAAGAGCGGATTAGTCAGATTTCTTAACGCTCACCGTGAGCGTTTTCCGAAAGAACTTGTCGCATTCACCAAAGCGGCTCAGCCAGCGGCAGTAGAAGAAATACCGATCGAACTGGGGCAGCATTCGTTCCAGCACATCAAAGTAGTCAACATCATCGCCAGAAATTAGCGGCATGGCCTGGTCAATTAACTGCGTGTTGCACACGTGAAGAAGTGTTCGAAACTCCTCCATCTCCAGGGCGGTGATGTTTTGCGGTTTGAAAACGCGCGAGGAGCGCATCTCAATATTGAACTGACTGTAAAGATCCGCAAACGAAGTCTCCTCGCCTGGAAAAAGGTTACATTTTAGGCAACGTAACTGGTTAATCAATCATTTGTCCAACCTTTCGGTTTCAGCACTCGCTTGGTTTCGGAGCAGACTGTGATGGCGGGAAAGGGTATGTTCCACACGGGCGTTGATTTCTCAGCAAAGCTAACAATCACAGGCTGGAAAGATACACCATCAACAACGGCCAATTACAGATGTTAGGCAATAGATCCCCTACCGTCTCCGTCCACTTGGTGTAGGCGCTGGATATCAGCGTGGCACAGCCGTAAATGGAGATCAGAAAGGCGCACAGCCAAAATATCCTCTCCCGCATCGGACGTTGGTGGTCGCCCAGGTACTGTACACCGTGCAAGGAGGTGTGGGAGCAGTATTCTTCATATGTGGTAAGGAATCCCTTGCAGACGGTCGCAACGTTAGCGGATTGGCGCGGTTTCTTTGAGGTAAGATCAATACCACCACTGTGGCTCTCCAGTTCAGAGTCGCAGGTCGACATGGTGCTGTCCATTGCACAGTTTTTGGCACTCACAAACATGATTAATAAATATTTGCAAAATAATGTTAGGGTGAAGAAGCATTTATCCCGTTACTTTAGGCTGCCAGACCGCTGGTATTTGTGGAGTAAATTGCGATGTTTCTTCGCTGGTAGTATCGACTTTTTTTTTGGTTCTAGTTCGCTCTAGTTCGTGACTGACTCAGATATATCCCATCTCTAAATACAACGCTAAGCAAAACACGAAAAAAAAAAATAGAAATGGCTTCAAGAGTTTGTACCTATAAGGACTGTGAGAATTACTATCTTATCAACGACAGCACCTCAACAACACTCTTCGCCCCTCCCAAGCAGCCGGAACGTGCACAAATCTGGCGCAAAAATGGACGGGTTCACCCGAAGATTCCGCCACACAAAATGTTTATGTGCTTCGAACACTTTGATAAGAAATACATATCGTGCAGCAAGAATCGCAAGATATTAGTAGGCGAGGCGGTGCCATATCCTTACGAAGGTTCGCCCGAGCCGGAGGAGGCGGAGGCTCTTGAACAAGTGGCGTCGACATCCTCGCAGGAAAGTTACTTCATAAATCTGATCGACAGCGACGAGCTGAGCATCAACAATGTGGAGTCAACCACAGGCAGTTCCAAGCGCATGGTAACACTGCCACAGACTTTTAAGAATGGTAGTAAGTAATCAAATATATTACAAGCTACATATACATATGTGGAAACCTAATGATCTGGAAATTGTATTTTTAGTTGAAATTAGTCTTGCGCCACCTTCCACCAAACGCTCGAGAACCACTGTTGAGCTAATACCACTTTCAGAGCCCCCTGCAAAGCAGGAGCCTTCTGTTGTCGAAGACCAGGCAATAGACCCCACAGAGGTATCGACGTTCATCTTCAAAGGCGAGGAATATGTGCAAATGTCTAAGTCGTATTATATGCGCGAAAAGCGGGAAATTGCGCAGCAGCTGAGGCAATATAAGACCATACTCAAGAATATTAAAGAATATTTCCAAGATGAATCCCTAGATATATAGATAGTATTATATTTAAACATCGTGCCACCAAAACTCACTAGAATAAATCCAGCTATACATCTTTTTATATGGACAATCCTTAATTATATTCAGACGTGACCTAACCTAACCTAATACAATTCACATACATATATACTGACTGAGTAGCGGGTATAAAGCTCGTTATATATAAGATTTTATCTGTTTTCATTTTTGTTTAAATCTGTCTTGTTTTCTCTATTCTTACAAAAATCGCTATAGATAAATAAATATATTCTTGAAGCGGCTAATTAGTCAAATATGCCAGTGCTGCCACGCGTGCGAAATCGTAACACATCGATTACTTTTCCAACAGTGATTCACTAAAATATTTTGGTGGTCACTGCATAAATGTCATCTCTATCTGAAGCGCGTAAATTTGTACAAATTGTAGGACACTTTTCAATGAATCCACCGGCTCCGCGTGGACGTGCGCCTTCCAGATTCATACGTGGACGTGGTCGTGGAGGTGGAGGCTATCGGCCTTACTTTTATTTCCGCCGCAATGGCCGCGTCATCCCTGCACGCGGGAATCGCCAACCGGGCCAAGAGGCAGAGGCGGGCACGAGCGCCGGGGCGGCTGAAAATCGGCTGCCTCCGGCAAGAGGATGGAATCGTCCGGCCAGTAAGCGCGGTCGCGACACCAACCTAGACTGCAGCTTTCTCCGGCCCGAGAACTATGCAGCTCCAGAGGATGGCCTGCAAGTGCAGAGCATAGCGGTTGACAATCCGAAGGCCTGTCCCGGCTGGCGGTTGTACTTTCTGCGCGACACCTACACGGAGGACAGTGACCAGGCCAAACGCATCACTGCCGTGGAGGCACACTACCAGCGGAATCCTCAGAAGTACGACTTTGTGCGGATACGAGAGCAGGGATTCTTCAAGCTGCCCGCCCTCGGCATCGTCCACGACGAGCAATTGAAGAAGGTGTGGCCCCGGCTGGCGGAGGATCTGCGCGAGCACCCACAGCGCAGCCTGTCCACCCTGGCCGTGGCCATGCACACGGTAGTGATCAATCACAACTTGGACGCGAATGACACGTCAGCCCCCCTGGAGCAGTCCAGCCTGGAGCAGTATGTGCCTCCGCCGACCCGCACCCGAAAAATTTACGTGCGCCCCGAGGACTTTACGCCAGTGGAGCTAACGACCGGCATTAGTGCCGACCGCGTGGACACGTTCTTCTCGGTCCGCGGCATTGTCAGCAGCGTGGGTGAACCAACGTACAGCATAGCCTGGCAATCGTTTCGCTGCTCCCGGTGCCAGACGGAGCAGGCGATGCGTCAGCGTGGGTCCTTCCAACCCCGCCCCTACCATTGCAAGCAGGCGCAGTGTGTGGCCAAGGATAGCTTTGTGCCGCTCCGAAGCTCGCCCTACACGCGCATCTCGGCCAAGCAGATCGTTCGCCTGGAGGAGTCGAGTCTGTCGCTAATCGCGGACTATGACAGCATACTTCCTGGGGAGATAGATGTGGAGCTGCGCCACGATCTGGTGGACTGCGTCCACGTGGGCCAGGAGATAGTCGTCAACGGAGTGCTCAAACTGCGCGATCTAGGCGAAGATGTGACCACCGCCACTGGATCTGTGGCAGGGGATTCCAACGAGTTGAAGGCCTACCTCAAGGCAGCGAGCGTCCAGGATGCGCGCCACAAGAAGCGAGAGTTCAGCGAGCGCGACCTAGAGGCCATTGCCATGATCAATGCGGAGCCGAACAGCTTCAAGCTGCTGGTGCAGTCCCTGGCTCCCGAGGTGCATGGCCACGAGCTGCCCAAGGCCGCCTGTCTGCTCTCCCTTCTCGGAGGCGGCGCTGGAGGGGTCAATGTGCTGCTTGTGGGCGATCCCGGCATCGGCAAGTCCAAAATCTTACAGAACTGCGCGCAGATCACGGAGCGAGGCTCGCACATTAGCGGAAAACGCGGCGCCCAATCCGCCCAGAGACTGGGGCCGACCTTCACGGGACGAAACAAGCGCGTGCTCCAGGCCGGGGGCCTCATGACGGCGAGCAGTCCGGGCCACTGCACCCTAGACGATGTGGACAAGCTGGCCTCGAAGCAGGCCGTGCTCCTGCAGTGCATGCAGTCGGGCGAGATCAATATGCCGCTGCCGGGCGCCTTCTCCACGTTCCTGGCCCAGCCCTCGATCATTGCTTGTGCGAATCCCCAGCGAGGACAGTATGATGAGGGGCGCTACCTGCTGCAGAACATCCACATCGTGCCCTCCCTGCTCAAGGAGTTCCATCTGGTGTATGTCCTGCTGGACAAGCCCTCGGTCGTGCGCGACATATCCCTGACGGCTCATGTGCGCGCCCTCCACGCGGGGGCCAAGAAGCGCGCACAGATCGCGGCGCGCTATGCGCTCAAGCCTAAGACCAGCGACTCCATGTGCGAGGGCACCTTCTACGATGTGAGGACCGATGACGACAGCGAGGACAACGACAGCATCATGCAGCAGGACTACGATCTGGACAAGCGACTCGAGCTGCAGGAGGAGGACGCTGAACTGGATCTCCTGCCACCTATACTCATCAAGAAATTCCTGGCCTATGCCCGCCAGAATGTGAATCCGTTGCTGAACGAGGCGGCCAGCCGCTCCATCGTGCGATTCTTCATGAAGCTGCGCGAAGGCGGTAGGACTGGAGGAGGGGAGGATACCGAGCAGAGCCAGCTTGGGTCGGGGTAAGATTGTCTTTAATTTAAGTTAACTAATGCTACAACTAAAATTACTTCGAGAGAACTATTGCTATCGCATCAGCTTCAGGAGGGAGGAGACGGGCAGCTCCAGGAAGATGGCCAGCAGGAAGGAGCACAGATACGACACGGTCATCGTGAAGAAGATGAAGGCAAACTGTGGAAGAGAAAAATGGAATAAGGAAAGCTGAACGGAGTCTAAGGTCCCATCTCACCATCATGCCGGTGCCAAAGTAGATGGGCTCCCGCACGGTGGCCAGGACGATACGCGCCACCAGCAGATGGACGATGAACGCTCCATAGGTGAGGCGTCCCAGTATACGGAAGATGGGCAGACAGGCGAACTTGCGGAAGATCCCTGGAAAGCAAACAAAACACCAATATGAGCGGAGAATCCAAGCGGAAAACCGTATCCCTCGAGGATACTTACAGCCGACCTTCCCGGCCATGCCCACAATAAAGATGCTGAGACCAAAGGCCCAGAGGTTCCGCTGCAGCCCCGCGTAGATGGCGCCCCATATGGCCGACGGAGCCACATAGTAGTGCTGGAAAATGGGGTGAGCGGTGAAGAGCCAGAGGATGCCCACCGGAATGAGGGCGAACCACAGGAGCTGGAAGCTGCGCAACTCCCGCAACTTGTACTGCTTCAGGGCCAGCTGGTCGTAGACCAAGGCGGCCAGAACTCCGCAGAAATAGCAGCCAAAGTTCATCAGCGACGAGGTATAGAACTCCGTGAACTGGCGATCCCCAATGAACGAGTCCTTTTGGGTTCTGGTTTCAAGGATTGAATGGCATTGAAAAGAGTGAGAGTGTAAAAGAGACTCGAACTTACTGCGGCGTAGGCACAAAGATCGGATAGTAGTCCAGGGCGTACGTGAGCAGCACAGGAAGGGCCATGAAGATCGCCAGGATCACCGCGTAGAGCTGCTTGCTCCATTTGGCAAAGCGATGGCCCAGCATCAGCAGCACCAAGCTGAGCACAAAGGATTGCGTGTCCGCGGCCAGATACCATCCCTGGAGCAGGCACTGTCAGGATGTCAGGATGGGAATAAAGCAAACATCAAAAGCAGCTCCTTAGCAGCTCGGGTTGGATCCACTTACGCGCTCGTCCGTCTGCACAAAGTTGTTGATGTACAGGAGATTGGTCCACCAGTTACGACGGCAGGCCAGTTGCTCCCGCTCGTAGATGTGCCGCCAGAGCGGCCCTCCGGCAGTGTCAAAGTACACGCCGCTCAAGAGCAGAACAAAGGCATAGGGCACTGTCAGACGAATGTAGCGAAACACGTTGAACTTGACAAAGAGCACGGCGTACTGCAGAAAGGTCCAGGACTCTGCTTTGGACTGCAGCGTACGCGCCACGGCCAACCAGTTGATGGTGAGAAGGAGGCCACTGATCACAAAGAACGTGACCGTGATGAGAGAGCCGGAGACGAGGAGTGTGCCCGCGGCCGTGTGTAAAAGACGCTCGGGATCCTGGGGATTGCTGATGGCGCTCTCATAGATCACCCAGTTGGTGTGCGCGAAGATAACCATGAACATGGAGAAAAACTTGAAGCAGTCGAGGAAGCGCAGCTCGCGTCCGATCTTGCCGTTGGGCTCCTGGTTGAGCCGATACCAGTTCCGAGCCACCGAGAAGGTGAGCAGCAGCTGCTGGGCGAGGCTCTTGGGTGGGGTCTTGTAGTGATCCCGCTCCTTGAGCATCTTGTCGTGACGCCGCCGCTTGAGCAAGAGATCCACGAGACTGCCCAAGCTGGCCAGAACCATCAGACCGCACAGTAGCCCATAGAATGTCAAGTTCCAGGCATCTTTAGGGATTATGTTAAGGCTATGATTCTATGTCCGACGTGAAGAGTAAAGAATACCCACCATCCTGGACCACTCGTCCAGCCTCATCGCAGTATTCCACCACGCTCTTGGCCCGCAGACTGAATCCTCGCCGCTTCAGCCGCCAGTTGAGGCAGGCACTCGTCAGCCGCTGATGTTGCTCTCGGTTCTGCGCCTCCATAGCGAACAGCCCCAGGTACACATTCACCTGCATGGGGACAGAGATAACCATGAATGGGCCATCAAAATGCCAGACAGAGACCCAGACCCAGACCCAGACCCGAATCTATCCCAAGCCCTTGGCCTTGAAAGAAATGTATTTGCGTTGATTGGATTGGTATCCATTTCCATTTTCGACCAACGCCCAACGATCAACAGCAAGTCAGCTTTGTGTAATCAGCCATCGTGAATGCATTTTGATGGCATCGATCCACTGGATCAATGGCATCGGCCACACCGTCTCCCATTTGCCCATCATCTATCCAACGTTTAATCAGCGGATTTTCCCTCCCGTGCATTCGAGTAATTTATGCAATATTTATAGGTAAATGCAGATGCAGATGCAGATCACGAATTCAGAGGCAGACCGAAGGCCCGAGACAGAGGCGCTGCTGCTGCTGCTGCTGCTGGCCCATTAAAAATTCCCCCAGATCGAATCTGATTTCGAGTTGAATAAACTTTTGAACTGTTTTCACAGCTTCTGTGCTTTGTGTGGCGTTTGGTGGCTGATCGGCCATTACGAGCGACGCCTTGGCCCGAGAGGAGTTTGGCAATATCGCAATAAATTCAAAATCGTGTTTGAAGATTGAATTAAATGGCCCACAATCCGATGCTGATGGTCTCACCTTCTCATTTTCCGTGAGCAGACCCGGCAGCAGCGATTCCAGCTCGGCGTCGTCCAGTCCGGCCAGGGAGGCCTCGCATTCCCTCAGGCAGAGGCCAAAGTACAGCTGGCGATGGTCGAAGTGATGGCGATCGTAGCGCGAGATCTCGGCGATGGCTCGCCAGGCGGCCACCGACTCATCCGGCTGGACTTGGGCCCGGACAAAGCAGTAGCTGGAGGTCTCCCCATCCAGTTCCTGCATGCAGCGGTCGTAGTCGTCCAAGTCGTACAGCTGCGGCATCTCATAGAACTGCGTCACTGCAAAACAGGAAGCGAAGAAACAACATATTGGAGCTCGCAAGGGGATGAGGCAGTTGAAGAAACAGAATATATGTAGAATCATTCGGATGAATCAGCCCATTAAGAGGCTCATCAGAAACTAGTTTTTTTTGTTTTTTTGCCTGGGAAGATCCTTTTTCGCTAGAACCATAACCGGGGTTCAATGGCTGTTAATTCAAGTGAAAGGAAACTAGTTTTCTTTGAACTTGTTTTGCATCCCCGCCACCCCACAAGCTGCATATACCTTTAATAACTTTATCTATTCCAATTGGTGGAGAAAAACAAACAAACAAAGATTCAAGTGTAAGACGATAATTGTTTTGCTGATGAAGAGCCTCAATCTCTTGTCAGATTCCAGGCGACGCTTCGTCTGAGTTAATTGTTTGCTTCATTCAAATATAAATAACGTCCAATCATGCCCAGTCTGGAGATGTTTTTTTTGTGGTTTCTGGCTGGGGAACTTTTGCCGGAGAGAACACGCAACTGGGCGGAGGAGGCTTATGGAGATGTAGATGAGAGGGCAATCCTATCGTTGCTCCCTAAAACGTTCAATTGTTGGATCGTTCGATTGACAAGCATACGATAGCATGCGATCTTAACGGATGTCACCGTAATGGATTATGTGATACGACGACTAGTATTTCCCCCTAGAGAAAGAGAGAGCGATTAGACTCGCTAGACTCTGGAAAACGAACTACGTAAAAAGTTTTACTTCATTTAATTCAAATTAATCGTATGCTTTAATTGCTTTTGTGTTGCTTTTAGCATTTTCTTAACCACAATTCATCATTTCGCGATAAAAATTTCACACTTGGGGTAATTTTACAGCCAACAATCTGAAAGTACTTAATCTTCCTTTTTTTTTTCTATGGAAAGAACTCATTTGGAAAGGCCGTTCGATTCTTTTCGTAACCCTAAGATTTCAATCCTTACGAATTCTCTATCTGTTTCCGGCCCTTTCTTATGGCTCATTCCATCTCATCACCCTTTTAAGTGCTCTTAAATGACTTTATTAATTTGTTCATCATTTTTCCTTTATTATTCTTTAATGCAGGCTAAAAACTTTACGATTTTTTCATCAATATATTCGTGAATCATTTATTTATAAAGAATAATTTAAATTTCAGAGCAGACCAGCCACAAGAACAACATCATAAAACTCTTATCAGCTAAACCTTGTATCGAGCATCAATGTGCCGTGTCAAGCCCGCGACATGTATGTTGTTTTTGCAGTGGGAGACAAAAAAAAAAGTTCTTCCAAAAGATTCTAGATCTTTCTTGTGCCTCTTCTGGTTCTCCAATTCTATCACTAACTTTTTCTTCGGATTACTTGATATTTTTCCTATAACCACATAACACAATTTTCATTGTCTGCCCCTTTTGGTATAATATCATTCTATCGTTTCACATAGGAACATAAAAGATCTTTAACAACGAATATCCCCCATGAAATGATCCCTTTGAAGACCATTCAAGTAATAAATCCTAAAATCATTCCCATTGCCCGTTCCATTCTTTGGTATCTTTCCCATGACTTTATCTAATTGTTAGATCTCCATTCCTCCATTAAACCTAGCCCTTCCTAGCAATTATCAGAATATTTTTATGGGCCCATAAATCAACTTAATCTTAAGTCCCGACGCCGACTTACTGTTCAATTGAAAGCATTGCGCAGCCGTTAAAATCGCCGCTAAAGACACGATCTGTGGCAACATGGTGGGCTCCGAGCTCCAATCAATCCAATCAGTAATCGTAATACACACTCTCTAATTAATGGAAGCTTGGGCGACTCTTTGCACTTTCGTCACCCCGCCAACGAAAATTGCCGTGGGCTCAGAGACGACAGACAAAATGCAGCAGCACTAATAACAATAAGAAGACGAAATTTCATCAACGGCTGCGATCCGAACCGATCCGATCCGATCCAAAATAAATGAAGTAAAACAAAGCAGATGCACGCACAGAGCAGGGGTCTGGTCTGGCCAATGCCAATGTTAGGAAATGCACTCGGCCACTGGCCACTGATAGCTCTTGGATTGAGACTGAAAACCGAAATCGAATCAAACCAAACCGAACTGAACCGCCGATCAGAGCCACTTAGCTGGTGAACCGTTTGCGACGACGTGCGAGCCGAGAATGAAATGCGGCCCAAGCAGATGGGTCTGGTTAAAGCCTCAAGCCTCTGCCTCTGCCACTGTCACTGCCCTGCCTCTGCAGTTGCAGTTGCCTCAATGATCATCAAGTCGGGCCCAGACGAATGGTTTCCAAATGGTTTCCCCCCCCCCAGCCGAGTGATGCGTTGGTTTCCGTCAAATATATAAAACATTGGAACATGTTCGATGCTGGCTGATGAGGCCCTTAGGCCTCAGGCCGGAATCGCCCACAACCCAAACAGATTTATGGTCAACTAACTATGAAAATGAAAATTTTTCGGTTACCGCCTGGTTGGCAGTTATTAGCCACGAATGTTAGGTCATAGACGGCGCTAGGGCTTTAAAAAACATCAAAGATATAACTTACCATACCTCGTAAAAAGTTCTGTGGCGAAACAAGTTTGGCGATTTTGTAAAATCCACTTGCCAAATACGCAGAGGAAGGGAAAATCTCTTTCTATATACAAGTCGTAAACAAATGTTCATATACGAGTATGTATTATATGCGTATTTGGAGTTAACAGAACTGCGTAGATTTTGCATAAAACAAAATATGAAACTAATTTGCTATATTTGGGGCCCTAGGGTCAGCCTAAACATTAATTATAGAAAATAACCAAGACAATCGAGAACGATCGAGTAAAGAAACATCAAATACTCACTAGATAGTCTCTGATCTGCGAGTATGTATGATCTAATGGTAGGGAAAATCAATAGTAACCAAAGTTAATTGTTTTCTTTTGCGAATTGATATTATCTTTTCCATATTCTGAAACAGAAGAGTAGTGTCAGTAGTGTGCTCTGCTTTACTGCTTTACTGATACGCCACTCTGTGACAGGTGATACAAGAGTATACCCCTTGCTAGGGTATAGAACGAGTGGAACCGCCAAACGAAAGACTTAAGCAACGAACGTTCTACCCCACTCTAATGCTTTCGCCTGCCTCTTTCTTTCAGGCAACTTCTCGGCCTGATTCACTTATCCCAGGCCCGAGCGCGTCTGGATTTGTCCAACGTGGTCACGCCGCAACACGTGCGTGATGTAATCGCCCTGCTAACCGAGAGCATCACCGAGACCAGTCTCAAGGCGGAAGGCTGCGGCGAGATGAGACGCGGCTCGCGTAAAGTGGCCGCCGTCGGAGGAGGCGGAAGAGCCTCTCAATTGCGTAACTTTGTCCACATGATGCAGTTGCGGGCCGTGGCGCTGGGACGGCGCATCTTCGAGTTCGAGGAGCTGAAGGAGATTGGGACGCGAGCGGGTATCTTGACGGGCATCAGCCAGCTGGTGGAGATAGCCAACATGGGCGGACATTTGCTCAAGAAGGGCGTAAACATGTACGAAGTGGTTCCGGACTAGACAAATGGCAGTGTCAATATTTGTAATTGATATTTATTTAAGTTGAGGCGTCTGGACGTTGCTTCTAAGTAGAACTCTACGCTCGTTAAATGTTTACGCTTTTATCAATTTCCCGCGTTAATTTGTTGAGATTACAACACGGACCAGTAGCCCCCGATTGGTTTATCAAATGGGATTCCCTTGATCATGCCTCATCAATACCCAGAAGTTTTCTTTGGTTCTGTCAAAAACCCCATTTTTGTTGTATACTTTGAGGAGAAAAATTCAAAATAATATAAACACTCTATATCCTGTATATGTATTAGAGCAATTTGTTATTTATCAACTTACTCTATTTTAAACTAGAGATGTAGTGGAGTATATATGCGATATTTCTGCATAATCAGACGGATAAATAAGTGAGAAATGAAAGATGGAAGGAACGTCTTTGATTAGCCCCATATATCCCATATATACACAAAAGTATTTGATGACACACCTTTGTCATCTCCCTACCGAAGTTGTGATGATCTCTTTAAATAATTTACCCATTCCTAGCGATCTGTTTGATCATCCTCTTGAAAAATTTCTCGTAATTGGTTCAGAAACAACATTCTAGAATTTATAAACTAGATTGAAATGGACTTCCTATAAAATATATCACTACTCGTATCTGTATCATCTTTGGGATCCCAATAGATCTATCAGAGATCTTTCCAATCTACGCGGGCGTAGTACTTCATCTGTTGGAGACCTATTTTTAATCCATTGTCAATAAAAAGACGCTTTGTTATTGGTTTCATTTAATACTTTTTATTATCTGGTATTCATAAAACTACATACTCGTACATATATTGTAATAAGTTTTTCATAAATAAATACTCAAAACATTTGTTGTATCAGTTTGAAATGTTCGTCGTTTGATTTCCGCATGTCTTTCGGTCATTTGTCTTCGTTATTTGTATTCCTATATATTCCTATCTCCTATACGTATGTCCTGGGTATCCTAAAGTTGATGTCTTGCTTGCTCTGAATGCATTAGGTCTACATGTGTACGTGGTAGTCGTCGTAGTAGTAACTATTCGAAAAGCTCTGGTGATTTCGGGGATACACTAGAGAGGGCGGCGGGGGCCTTAAGCCTAACTGGGGGACTATCGGATCGTAAATATATTAGAGCTATTTTGACCGTGCCTTGAATTTGTATTCGTCTATTTACAACATTGCTAATTGTAGTGCTAGTTTAATATTTGGCTTATCCTTTTGCTACTCTGTTTCTCATTTAAAACTTACACCTAGGGGGTTACAATTCAGTTTGCATAGTCATAAGGTTAGGGTTTAAGGAGCTAAAGGGTTAGAGGGTTAAAGGTTAGAGTGCATGCGATTGAGGATAGTAGTTAAGAGTCGTAATATATTTGCATTCGCTTTGGTTTTAGTCAGTAATCAGTCTAAACAAATGGATGCGAAGGCAAAAGAAAACGAACACGAATACGAACACGAATACGTAATTTATCTAAATTGCTGGCTATAATAGAGGTATATTTGCATCTAAATATTTGTCGGCTATAATCAAGCTAGTCCTTAGGCTAGCGTGGGCTGTGTTTAGTCAAAGGTTATTGCCCTTCAAAGCGTGTGCCTGGAATCTATGGAGCGGGACGAGCGAACGGGTGGGGAATTGGCTAAACCGGAATGCATTGCTATGGGCAGTCAAGAGTTGGATCAATATAGTTTATGTGTGCTTTGTACTTTCAAAAACTGCTGGAGAGAGAACTGCAGACGAGAACTAAATAAAGCTGAGAACTTTCGTCGTATTTTACGCTTAAAACTAGGTTTCAGGGCCACAACACAATACAATAGACTCAATAAATAAAATACACAATTAATAGATGCCACTGCTTCACGATCTATCGCTGAAGGTGAGGTTGAAGGTGCGCAGCTCCATCGGCTGCAGGCTCACTTCCGCCAGAGAGCGGATGCGGAAGTTCTCCTTTGCCTTCTCCTTCGCCTGCTCCAGCCCCGTCAGGCTGGTGGCCTCGATGGTGCGCAGACTCAGTTTGCCCAGCTGGACGGGACCGAGTCCTCCGTTCGACAGCGGACAGACGGCGTCCAGGCCCAGCTCCCTGCCCCCCACGGCACTCACGCTGCAGTCGAAGCCCTGCCGATGGAGGACCATCAGAGCGGAGGCGGACGGAAACAGCTGCAGCTCCGGGTCGGAGAGTGTGCGCAGGGTGGTCAGGTGCACGTCGCAGGGCAGTGCCCCCTTGGGCAGCAGCCGGACCTGGTCCTGCAGACCCGCCAGCGGCTGCTCCACGCTGCTCAGGAAGTACAGATTCGGCGGGTATCGCAGCGCATTGGCCAGCATCTGTCCCTGTATGCTGGGCACCTGGTAGCCGGGCGGCTTGGCCGCGTGCTGTCCCCGCGGCATGTCCTCCACCAGCAGCCAGAATTTGTGGCGCGTCAGGTGGCTGTCGACCACGCCCTCGCCCATGCCCCTGTAGTCGTCGTAGAGGGTTCGCCGATCGAGCATCACCTCCAGCTGCCCAGGCTCGTAGCTGGCCGCTCCCTGGGCGTGGGTGGTGAGCAGAGTGAGGCGCAGGCGCGTGTCCTGGATGAAGGCGCCCGAGGTGATGGGGAAGTAGTTGCCCTCGATGCCAATGGCCGGCACCTTAATGCGTCTAAAGGAGGAACAGAAAGTGCGGTTGGACGTGTTGGATAGGGGACTTTTTGAGCCATTCTTTACTCACTCGTGGTACTGGAAACCGTTCTGATCGCTGTAGAAGACAGGCAGCTCTGGGATGGTGCCCGTGTCCGTGGGCTCCTTGAGGGGATCCTTCTGCAGCGGCGCCCCCGCAATGTTGTCTATGTTCGTGATCAGGCGCATGAAGAGCTCCGTTTCGCGGTTCTTGGGCGGCGGCTCGAAGTCGATGTCGTTCTCCACGTAGATGGCGGCATCCAGGTGCGTGCGCGTGTTGAAGATGCGCACGGTGTGGGCCAGGAAGGGGCCATATATCACAGTCACATCGCTGGCAATCGGTCCGGAGGTGATGATGATCCGCACATCGGTGTAGCCCTCCAGCACATCCTTCTCGGCCTCGCTCTGCTCGGGATCCGTCTTGAAGAGGTAAGCCCCCGAGTGGAACTGGGCGCTGCGGTAGGCGGCAAACTTGATGTTGCACTGCATCGGCTTCATCAGCTCCTTCCGCTGGTTCTTCCGCGTGACGGTCTTCAGGAAGCCGCTCTTCTCGTCGAACAGCAGACGCATGTGGGGATTCTCCAGCTGGATGTCGCCTAATCACAGATTTACATTGAATGTTGTTAAGTAATTCTTCGATGGTTAGGGATCTGGATAGATCTACTCACCCGCTGGCTTGGCCCGCACCTCAAAATCGTTCACTGTGGCGCCAGTGGTTCCTTCGGGCGTCGTGGCACTCGCCGAAGCAGAGCCCTCGTGGCAGTCATCGCAGTAGATGGTGGCAATGTTCCGCCTGTAGCTGGCCTCATCCACCTGGACGCGGTACGTGCTGAGGGACAGGGCCTCCAGCTCGGCCACGAACATCACCTCGTACTGCCGCGTGCTCGTGCGAATGCGTCCGATGGTGCCCGTGGTGGTCGTCCCGAGCACCATGTCGTAGATGTCCGTGATGTTCCACACGGGATTGATCTGGATGTGCTTCAGTTCGACGCCCTCGTGGTTAAGGATCTTCACATTCGGATGCTGGACCCGCAGGGTGACGATCTCGACGCGCTTCTGGGCCAGGGAGTTGTACAAAACGAAGCTGCCAATGGATCCTCCGGCAGAAGGGGCCCCTGCCCCTGAGCTTCCGCCTCCGGTGCTCGTGGAGTCGTCCCCACTGACCATCTGGATGGGCATCTTGCGGGGCAGCTTGTTGAAGTTGTCCCGCTCGAATTCGCTGATGATGAAGCCGTGGTGGCGGGGCTGGCCCTTCTGCAGCAGCTGCTCAATGGACGACTCCTGCATCTTGACCATGTTCTGGATGCTCTCGAACAGCCGCATGGCGTAGTCCCGCATCACCGCCGCCTTGGAGGTGCCCGTGATGGCGTCGTGGTGCTGGAACAGACCCAGATTGCGTCGCGCGTGGATTATCTTCTCGTAGTTCTTCTCGTCGATCTTGATGGCGCTCTCCCGCCGCGCCTGGCGGGCTGTGTTGTACGCCAGCGTGAAGAGGATCTCGGCGGCGCGCAGGTTGTGCTCCAGCTCGGAGCTGAGCAGCTTGTAGAAGGGTCGCGTGGTGAAGTAGCCCGACCAGTAGGCGGGCCTTCCCTCCGAGAAGATGTCCGAGTACACGAAGAAGTCCCCCTTGAAGCTGGGAAAGCCGGGGCTCTTGCCCCTCATCCGCTCCCTGATGGCCGCAAAGTAGTCGCTGGGCGTCCCGAACCTGATGTCCGTGTTGTAGAGCCGCCTGTTGGCCATGATGTGGTCGATGAGCTTCTTGTAGTTCTGGTACTGCTGGTCCACCTCGCGCTCCTTGTTGTAGCGGAAGTCGTCGCCCACGGGGATGAGGGCCACGTTGTGCGGGAAGAGCGAGGCGGTGCGGGCGTACTGCTCCAGCAGCAGCTGGGCCTTCTCCTCCACGTTGTCGTCGGTGATGAACTGCGCCTTCACCGAGTACTCGGTGTACTCGCCGGGGATCTTGCGGAAGTCAAAGTTCAGGCAGATGAACGGATGTGGCCCGCAGGAGCCCTTGATCGAGTAGATGTCAAAGGGCATGTTGTGTGTGAGCAGGCTTCCGGCCGCTCCATCTGTTCCGACAGCTCCCACTGCCCCCCTTGTCCGCCAGTAGGGCGTCCACACGAAGTCGCCCATCTGCTGGCGGGCGAACCACTGCTTCCACGCGTAGTGGATCCTCTGGATGATGGCCCCCTCGAAGTTCGCCCCGGACAGCAGGTAGGGGACGGTGCTGCCGTGGCCAAAGGGATCGATGGACCAGCCCACCTTGGGGGTCACGTTCAGGTTGTTCTTCAGCCACTGGTGGCCCTCGATCAGCTGGTCGAGCATCGGATAGATGTGGACATTCGCCTCGTCGGTCATAACCCAGCCGCCGGTCGTGATCTCGATGCGGCCGGAGTCGACGAGGCGCCGCAGAGCCCGCTGCTTGGTGGGATGGGCCTGGTCCCACCACAGCTGCAGGAATGAGATCTCGGACCAGATGAACGTCATGTCCTTGTACTCCTGCATCTTGGTCACCAGCAGATTGAGGATCTGGCGCGAGTCCGACTGGAAGTAGTTGGTGAAGGTCTTCAGCCAGCCGGGATCGTTGTGCGAGTGCGGCACCACGATGATCTTCAGCGGGGGACG